CGTAGCTATAACTGCGCCTTACAAAAGCCTTCGTAGAACTTTCACTTTTGCACATTCTAACCCTACAACCACAAACCTTAATCAGTTTTTTTGGGGTTTTGTTTGATCGACCAAAGGAAAGCAGTTTTTTTTTTTTTTTTTTTTAACTAATGACAAAGAGGGGCATGTTTTTATATTCAGGCCAACTGACCTAATGCAACAAAATAAAATCCAGAGCAGCCAATTTCATTAAGAAGTCACCTAATTAGCAAATATAGGGTCCCCTATTCAAACCTCAGAGTTAATCAAGCTCATGTTTTAATGTTCAAGAGATCTGATGGAAATCAAACAACATTATGAATACCAAGGAACACCGCACATGCAATATGGAGATATTTAAGCAGGCATCAGGGAGGTTTACTAATGATCCTAATGAACAGCGTGGGAAAGTTTTACTCAAAGTAAATTCAAGAAAATAGGTCACAGGCATGCATGTATCTGAGCTTAACAACTGAAATGCCATTCTGTTCATAAAATTATGTTTAAGTCATAAAGGGTGAAATAAAATGCTATTTTAAAAATGATTTTCAGTAAAAACATACATAATGTCTCCTTAAAGCAGGGTAAGGTTAAAAAGCTCGATCCCAAACTTTGATAACTTAGAAGAGGTCTCACGGAGAGCTGTTCATCATCTGGCAACAAAACTACCATAGACCCACTGAGATTGGCTGGCCACCTGAAATGACTGATTAACTGAGGACAGGGATGCTTGGTGAACCAGGCAAGAGGCCTTTAGGGACTTTCGAGGAGCTACAGAGATCAACAACTCAGAAGTGAGAATCATTCAACACAACTGTCTTTCGTGCACGCCACAATTCCATAAGTTAAAGAAAAGTGCAGATACCGCTTGCTGAAAGAAGTTACACAAGTCCTGTTTGAAGTTAGCCACAAGCCACGTAGTTGGACACAGCAAACTAAGAAGAAGGTGCTCTGGACAGATAAAAATAAAACTGAACTTCCTGGTCTACATGCAGATTCCTCTAGCAACCTCATGCTGTTGGGATGTTTTCCTTCAGCCAAGCAAAAACAATGGGAAAAATAAGGAAGCCAAAATATACCTTGAATTTTACTTTCTAGAAGGGTAGTTATCCTAAGCCTACGTCAATTTTACAATATATTTATCTAAACCTGGCGGATCAATGTCCCAAAACACCACAAATACAATAAAACAATGTAAAAACAATAAAATAGGTTTAATTTGTTGGTGTAATTTGACAAAATTTAAAGAAGGATGGGCAAGTGGATTTTTCGTACACTAATAATAATGAATATTTTTATTAGATTAGTTATCTCAGATTTTACAGTACTAAGGGAAATTGTTTATAAGCTAAATGCTATGGGCATTCTCTGACTTCTAATGGTCCTTATGTCTCTGTGACCTAATGTACCCAGAGCAGCTGTGTTAGGGTGCTTAGCAGCATGAACTGAATGTCAAGCTAATGCTTAGCTTGATTTGTGAACTATTACATGTGAAACTTGAGCGTTTGTTAAAGGGTGCACGTTCTAGCATTCCCAGCTCATTCCCTGTGCTTTTTAGCTTTTGACATTTTGGGTCAAGACAAAAAAAAAAAAAATTTGTAAAAAAACATTGGAATTTTGTAAAATGTAAATAACAACTGTGTAGAGTGATATATGAATCCTGTTCAACCAAGTAAGCAAGTAAGTAAAGGTTTATTTATTTAGCACCTTTCATGGACACTGGGGTCTGAAAGTCAGCACCAAATTTTTAAATTAAGGTAAAAAAAAAAAAAAAAAAAAGAAAAAAAAAAAAGAAGATGGAGAGATTTTAAAAATGGAGTAATATGGTCCCTTTGGTCGGTGTGCTTCACCACCCTAGCTTCCACATTTTGAACCATCTGCAGAATGGACTGCTTGTCCTCGTTAAGACAAGAAAAAAGGCTGTTAAAATAGTCTAAATTAGAATAAACAAAAGCGTGATCAACTCTAAATCCTTTTTGGAAACAAATCTTCAAAGCTTTGAGATTTTCTTGAGCTGGAAAACATTTGATTACACCCAAATTGAAGCAATTTGATAAGATAAGAAATGCATGTATTTTTTTCCATACAAGGAAAAATGTGGGTGCAAAAAACAAAAACATTTTTGTTACAAAGAAGATTACAATTTTCAAAGTAAGCTGTACAGAGGAAAAGAAAAGAAAATCTACTGTGCAGTTATTAATCAAAAAAGCCTAAAAATATTTTTTTAATGGGTATATCAAGGAAAAATGCAGTCAGTGAAACAAGATTTATGAAAAACTGCTATAAAACACTACAAGGACAAGGTATTTAATTTCAAAATAACAGTTTTATTTCAAATATTGTTCCACATTTTCATTTATTTTAAATTTTTTGACTGTAAGATGTTAAAAAGAAGCTTAGACAGGGCAATCTTTACCACTGTGTTATTTTCTATTCAACATCAATAAGCATTTGGGACCTGAAAACAATAATTAGACTCAGAATTCAGCTTTATTTATCCTACCCCCAAAAAATTGCAATTGCGCTTGCAGCTTTGTCTGGTCAACATAGCAATCAATTGAGAAAAACAATGCAGTCCACAAACAACCACATTCCACAAACACTGTTAGTGAAACACAGATAAAATAGAATAATAAAATAAAAACAAAAGCAATATCTTTGGTTAGTAGCCAACGGTCCAAAGATAAAAAGCACTATATAATATTATATATTATTATAATTCGGCTGAGGGAATAATAATAAAAGCTTCATTATTTTATAACGCTTTGTTGGAGTAATTCTTTCTCATTGATGCACAGCTACAGTCGCTTAACAGTCAGATGAAGAAAAGTATGGACTACAGGCAGGTTGGCCTTGTACCCACACTGTTTTACCGCGGAGCCTTGCTCCTGCAACAAGTCTAGAACATGGCTTGGCATTCTCTTTCTGAAAGAAGCATGGATGCCCCTGAAAAAGATCTTGCTTGAATTGCAGAATATGTTGCTCCAAAACCTGTAGGGATCTTTTCAGTATCAATGGTGTCTTCCCAGATGTGTTTGTTACTACCCAAGCACGCCTGTACATCACACATGTTGTCTTTTAGATATTCTGCTCACAACGATCCAAAAAGTCGCTTTCATCTTTGCACAGGAGAAAACTAGAGCAAAGATTTAAACAACAGTTTGAAATGTACATCCATGTCAGATTGGCTCTTGCCCAAAGAAGCTAGTAGCATTTCTGGGGGATTGCTGTTGATAACTGGCTTTTGCTTTGCATGACCCTGCTAACTTGTATCTGTAGATGTAGTTATAAACTGTGTTAAAGGTTCTCTGAAGTGTTCCCGAACCCATGTCACTAAAACTGTCAAAAACTTTAAGGCAGTGCCTTATGAGCGATCCAAGGCCATGGGCATTCAAAGTTGGTTTTAGGCTGCATCGACAACTTGCAGAGATTTCTGCAGAAAAATAGACTTTTTATCATTAAAACATCATTTGATGAGCAGACTGAGACATCAGTGGTTAAGCATTGATGCATTTATAACCATGTAACCTATTTTCCTGAATTTACTTCGGGTAGGAATTTCCCGCAGTGTTCAGTGGATGGGACGTCAAGTTCGTCTATGTTGAATGAGTCCAACCAAGCAGACAATCAAGGTGTTAAAAAGTAAAAAAAAAAAAAAACAAACAGAAAAAAACCCTTGTCCAGTAAAAGCTACAAGAGCAGAAGAGTTCTTCCATTCTATGTTTTAACCACAGGTGGCAGTATCATTGGAAACTTCATAATGCACCTTGTACAGCACATTAAGCAACTGACTGACTTAGTAATATGAGATTTGTTTACATATTTTGTTATGCATATTTAAATCTGATAGTGATGTGTAATAATGTTCAACAGTCTATAGGTTGAACAACCCACCATTAGTGTCTAGAAATAACCATTTCCAATCCACAAATGGAAAAAAAAAAAAAAAAAAACCTGAGAAAATACACTACTTCAGAGGCCTGACTAAGACTAAGTACCACTGTCCTGCATGTTATATGCGTCCCCTTGCTTCCACACAAGTGACTTGTATACGTAAATGACAGATTAACAGACTTCTGCAGCACCTGATAGCAACAGAAAAGGTCGTGCAATCATTTGAACCATTTGTGCTACAACAGGGACATGTTAAACATGCAGGGCAATGCTACTTTAGGATGATTTTAGTCAACTTTAGTGAGTATCATCATTGTCTTTATCCCTCTTAAATGAGCATCCCTCATGGTGCCATTTTTTTTGAAGGGTACCTTTTGTTAAAAAGCAACTCTGACTTATAATAAGGCTTAAAGCTGAACTACCTGAATCAAAGCTTACTTTGCCTATAATCCTTTTCTTTTTACAATCTTGTGTTGGAGGAAAGCAGGCTATATCCTGCCAAATTTACCATGTAGGTCACATTAAATGGGTTATCTTTATAAACCAAGATAGCATTTAATTACTTTACATTTTAAATAATCCATGAGTTGAAAAAAAACTACCAGTTCAATTACTAAATAAACTATTACTACTTTCTAAAGTAATCCTCCGTCCTATAGTGTGCATAACAGAAACCTGCATAATAGAATATGGCCATATGAAAAATCATCTATACTTCTACATGTAGCCAGGTATTTATCTGAATAATATATATATTTATCTAAATAATATATATATATATATCTTATTTGAGGGTTAAAATGGATACGATTATCTACAAGCCCTGAGAAATAATAAAATGTCTGTTGATATAATTAATTTATTACAATACTCGCCACATATTTTTAAACACAGAAAATAGAAAATGCTGACAAATCTACAGGCCTCACTGTCACTGAATAGAAGTTTATTAAAGCATCATTTAGTAGGATATGATAATGATGCTGCCTGGATCATTTGGCCTTATATTTGTTTTCAAATTATATGTTTAACAGACAAGTGGCATACATACAGTGTTTGCCATAAAAAAGGCACGACTCAAATAGATATAATCAGAATAGCAAATTTTATCTCATGTTATAAATAACCATTTTAATTTAATCAAAGAGCTACCTTATCAAATTGTCTGCTGGTATCAGGGGGCAGCCATTGAAGATGTAACAGGGAAGGGGATACATTTTATTAGCCTGTTGCTAAAGTTTCAACCTTAATATCCAAGTTCAAGAAGTTAAACTGCTTGCTTTGTCTTGTTCAAAATAAAAAAAATATAAGGGACTGGTGAAATAGGTTTTTAAATTCAGAAATGCTAACTTTGGCCAAACATTACTTAAAAAAAAAGAAAATTATTTCAGAATAAGAAGCCTTTTTTTTTTTTTTTTTGTCTAGACTAGGATCAGGGACAGGTCCTCTAGCACCACCTAGTGTCTGTGCACTTCCCTGCAGAAATGCCCCTCCAGTTTTGCTCATCTGTGGATTTTACCAAACACGTCCCATTTTTTTTTCTAAACAACTTTTAGGCATAAAAATATCTTGTCTTTGTAGTTTATTTATTCATCACATTTTACACAACGTTCCAACTTAGGAACTGAGTTTATAGATGTATTGAAAGAAGATATTTATCAGCTTATTTATTTCAACAGAGATATAACCAATGTGTAACTAATACCTTTTTTGAGCCAACTTAATGATGACAATTTAAAATCAAAACCACACATCTAAGAAAACATAACAGTCACATATAAGCAAGATTCCTTTAAACAAACTGAAGCATAGTAGTCACGCAGTCAGAATGGAGCCCTTCATGTCTTTTACAATGCTTTGTATACCTAATGATACATCTGGTAATATTACAACATTGTTTTACATCACAGTTCCTTCTGTCGTTCATGACAGCTTCAAAGAAACCCATTTCAAAAGTGTGAACTAAAATAAAAAAGGAATTGTTACAATTAAATACAGAATCAGACACGCTGAGAAACGTATATTGCAGCTTTGCATCCCAGCTGGATTGCATTTTTTAGTAGCCAGTAACCAGGTAGCTGAAAAAAATACAAAGAAACACACATGATTTAGTCATTTAATGCAATATGAGTTTTCCAGTTATATAAAACTTTATTTGGAGAAGTTTTCATAAAGTAGCTTATTATCTCATTCAAATACTAGAAACACACTCACTGATTCGGCATCATGCTCCAATCCTGTGTCATGATGGTCCATTTCATCATCTCTAAATTCCTTTATTACCTATGGAAAGACCATAAAATAAACATATTTACATCACTGCACAGACTACCTACAATAAGTCATTTTATTTGTTGACAACAATTGCATCACATAAGACTTCAAGACACGATGTGTGTACCGGTAGTTCATCTGAATATTTAACCAGTCATGAAGAATCGGCAAATGGAATTTTCTGCACTTCTCTTTGGCAGAAAATATAAGAGTTAACATTATTCTTCAGAGGAAATATAGCAGGTTAGTCTATCAGCAGCAGGAGAGTGGCGGCCTAGTGGTTAGAATCCAGGGGTTCTGAGTTCAAGCCCCACTCCCAAAGACTACCACTCTGGGTCCCTGAGCAAGACCCTTAACCCTACACTGCTCCCCGGGCGCCGCACAATGGCAGCCCACTGCTCCCAAAGAGGATGGGTTAAATGCAGAAGGCTTATTTTGTTGCGTTTTACTTGTGACAGTGTATTGACAATAAAAGCTGGGAAATAAAAAGGGGGAAAAAAGCATTGATGAGCCCAATTCTTAGATTTAGTCTATTATAGATCCTGAAAAGTTTGCTCTAGGGTTTTACATGAATTTATTTTACGTCAGCCTGAAACACCAAGATATTAACAACCAAGATTCTCATTTGAATCAAACCAGGATTCTCATTTTAATTACATACTCATGACTCCTACAGACCTGGTCAAAGTCAAAGTCAAAATTATCATTAGCATTTTCTGCCAGCAAAGGTGGCAAAACTAGCCAAGTAGGTTTTGCAGTTACTTTTTTCAGAGGGAAAAAACAGCAACAATGAAATTATTATTTGCCATAAAAAAGGCACAACTCTAAAATATATGATTAGCATAGAAAATTTAATAGAATGATATTGGAATAACTATTTTAATTTAATCAAAGAGCTTATTTTCAAATTGTTCCCTGGTATCAGGTGGCAGCCATTGAAGATGTAACAGATGTAGCAGGGAAGGGGAACATAATTGATTAGCCTGTTGCTTAAGTTTGTACCTTTATTTTGAAGTTTAAAGAGGCAAATCTGCTTGCTCTGTCTTGTTGTTCATAATTAAAATATTAAGGCACTGGTTAAACAGGTTTTTTAATTCAGAAATGCTAACTTTGGCCAAACATTACATTAATAAAGGAAAAGAAAACTATTTCAGAAAGGCATTTTTCTTTTTGTCCAGAGGATAAGGGGTAGGTGCTCTAGCACCACCTAGTGTTTTATCTGTGCACTTCCCTGCAAAAATCAAGTAATGTTAATAAAACATAAAAAACTTTTTCTGATGAACTTTTAACATATAAAAAGGTTAATGTTTCTGCACTCTGTCTCTGATCTAAATATAAAAATGTAAAAAATAATTTCTCATCAAAATAAGTGTCATTATTGAGCTTAAGCATTTGGTCAAGAACAATGTTCCCTCTGAGCTGCGCCTTTGTGCAATTGCACACTGAGCACGCATTCTTAGCGCATAAGAAAATCTATGAAGTGCATTAAATAAAAATCCAACATAAACAGCACATAGACTAAAATAATAACATTTTCTTGTATCATTTAGAATCCGTATATGAGTCGTTTTGCAACTTAAGACAACCAATGAAAATACGAGAAACAACTGGGTCCAATTTACACCAAACTGTTGCTAAAGTCTACAAGGTGTAAAGTCTCATTTCTGCCACATTAGGATTCTTACATGTGGCATACTACACATCTCCTGGTTTCATGGCTTTTTTTTCCCCTTTTAAGTGGGCAAAAATCACTTAAATTAAAAGTAAACTAATGGATATTGCAGCTGTAATTTATAATTCATTTAAAAACTCATGCAACTTGCAATTATTCCAGGTGTGTCTATTTGAATATAGTTTTAAAAGGTCTGCTCTCATTGTGCACATCTGATGTTGCTCACAGTGTTCCTTGGTGAATTCATGGGGCTTGTGTTTATGCCCAGCCACATGAAAAATATTTTTACTATCAATCCCAGAAGTAAACACTGGCAGCAGGTCTCAACAGGAATTTAATGAAGTCATATTAAATCAGCTGACCTTAGGTTTAGGTTTTACACCCGACAATGTTAGCTTAGTTAGCCCTCAGGGGAAGGAATAAACAAGGGTATTAGATTAGGTTTGGGTTTTAATTCCAGGTTTAGGTTTTCGCCAAAATATCCTGTGTGAACTTTTATGTATGACAGAATTTTTAATACACATAACAGTGAGGAAGAAAACTAAGAACAGAGTTCACATATATGTCCTAAAAGCAATAGTCAGGGTTTTTTTTAAATACAAAACACAATTAAAAAAAGCAATTTTAACTAAAAGAAAATGTTAAAAAAAAATTTTCCCCATGTATTGTAAAAATGGAGATACTCTGCCCCTGCAGTTGGACGCTGCTCCATTTTGTGGCTTCGGACAGTTTACATGTGTGTCTTTGGTGGCCGGCTTGTTAGAGTTAAATTCATTATGTTTATTGGAAAGTATTATTATCTAAAGTGTTGCACTCACTTCTAACAGCTCAGTGTATCTCTCTGGATCCCGCTCCATCAGAGCTCTGATCTGGCTGTTATAGTGTTCAGAGATGCTCTCCTCTACTGCCACCGTGCACGCCATGGCCCCCTCTTTACCCAGCAGAGCAGTGGATGCCCCTGCAGGATATTTAAAACAAATTAACAGAAAATGAATCTTTTTAAGTGCTGTAGTAAGAAGCTTTGTAGTTTTCTTATGCATTTATTTTTGTTTTGAATGATAGCTGGATAAACAATGCAATTTTACACAGTGCACCTACCTAGAACAAACCCAGCCAGGTTCCAGAGAGGCAACAGAGCTGTGGGTCGAACTCTGTTCTCAGCAAGGATTTCATTGAATTTTGCCAGATGTTTTTTTTCTTGATCCCACATTTGCTAGAAAAAACAAAAACACAAAACAGGTAGTAGAAGATTACAGTTAGAAGTAACAGTGACCCTGATTTTTGTATTTATTTATCTGAACCTGTTATCATTTTGATTATTTTCATCCACCATGAACATGAAGAGTGCACATAAACAAATGACAGTAGAAACACAATAACAGGTTTTTATAATCTGAGCCAAATAAAAGGAGAAAACTGAGTTAAATGCAATGCAAAGGGATACGCTAAAATAACATACATACATAAATACATATATACATACACACACACACACACACACACACACACACACATACATACATATATGTTTGTGTGAACCTGTCTAGCCGTCAGAGTGAGGACCATTTTCCAATTTCACCATCAAATTAAGGACCAGTTGTTGCAAAGTGAGGACATTTTGCCGGTCCTCACATGCTATTTTGCTAATGATTAAGTTTAGGGCTAAGGTGTCAATGGGTTAGAGTTAGGGTGAGGTATGTATTGTTAATTGTTAGGGTTAAAAATGACTGAAAATCAATGGAAGTCGATGGGAGTCAACACATGGTCCTCACTATGATAGCAGAATGTGTGTGTGTGTGTGTGTGTGTGTGTGTGTGTGTGTGTGTGTGTGTGTGTGTGTGTGTGTGTGTGTGTGTGTGTGTGTGTGTGTGTGTGTGTGTGTGTGTGTGTGTTTAAGATCCCAGAATGTTGCTGGTACCACGTAAATGTGAATCTTAAACCTCTTCGCATCTAACTGATTATTGTGGCAACTCACAGATTAAAAGATTTTTCCTCTCCACTGTCGCTACAAGTATGCTTAGTGTGAGGGATTGCCTTTGGGTTAATGAGTCAATGCAATAAACAAGTTTTTCCCTCAGATAAAAGACTTTAAATCAGTTTGACTGTATGATCTGGTTGAACTGTAAAGTGCCTTGGGATGACATGTGTTGTGAATTGGCGCTATATAAATAAACTGAATTGAAGATCAATAAGGTTTACTGTGCGCCATGTAGCTGTACCTGGATAAGAGCACCAGTCCTCGATCTGCCCAACACTGCCATCTGTCCGGCATAGATGCGGTTGGCACCGTATTCACCAGCATGGTCCACGCGCAGCATCCGGTGCACCATCTCCTGCTCCTCCCTGTCGCGCGGTGGAGGAATAACACTGTAGGCACGAGAGCTGCTCTGGAGGGAACCTAAGAAAACATTATGATATAAACACTAACAACTCGACCAAACCATTCCATGATGGAGACTCAGCTACTGCTGGAAAGTTTTTGTAAAACTAAGAAAAACATTTCATACTACCCTTTGTCCTGCATAAATACATTTCAGAAACTTATATTGCTATAGGGATATTTTTGATCCAACTTCTTATGAAATCATCATGTCTAGTTGACTGTTACATCATGGCTACCTTAGGTAAGTGTTTTTAGCATATTAGCTTCACATATTAGCTTCATCAACAGCTCACCTGAGCATTTTAAACTCTGTCGGATCATTGTTGGTCTGACTAACTGAGGCCAGTCGCATAAAGTTGCGCATGCAGCTCTGTGCATTGCGGTTATCGAAGAACTTAAGCTCTACTATAGGAAATAAACCGAGGGAAATACATGCAGACTGACATTGAGCGTCAGCTGATAGAAGTAAACGCATACTGATGACGTAAACTCTTGTTACAAGAGAACAACCTACTAGGGCAAACCAATGTACTATTTAATTTAAGGAATGTATGACCCGTTTTCTTTTCATTGATTGTGCCACCGTTCCGGAAAGCGGTGTTTATTTAGATTTGATTAAACTTTTCTCATCATTAGATAAAGGAAGGTCTAAATGAGGACTCTAATTTAGAGTAACAAGTCTAAATACAGGTGTTTGCCTCGTGGTATTTATATGTCGTATGTATTATTTATCCTTTGAGGGAGGGGCACAACTAAATGTTTGTTAGAGTTCTTGGTAAAAGTTTTGTATTTCGTTTTCTTCCTTTATAATCTATTCAATCATAAAAAATAAATAAAATTGTTGCTGATGTTGCTGCTATTTTCAAATATTCATGACTGTAAAAATATCCTTAGCTGTATGTTAGCTATTTATTCTCCAGGTGCACAGTTTTATTTTGTTAAAACACTTTACAGTACAGTATTTTATTGTCAAAGTCAAAAGTCAATCAATCCATCACTGTGTGCGTGAATGACGTAATGTAGTGTAAAGAACTTTGGTCAAGTCTCCTGACTTGAAAAAGCGCTATATAAGTACAGGCCATTTATCATTTACCAATCAATCAAACAATCAAATGATTGGTAAATATTTTTGTATTTATTTACTTCTTTTCGATTTGTATGATCATAAATAATAGAATAGTGGTATTATGGACCTATCAAAGGACTAATAAAGTGCTTAGTAAATGTATTTGTATTGCATTCAACTTTTCAAATGTTTAATTTGTATGATCAGACAAGCTTACAAACATATGCTTTGCATCTATTGGTACCTGGTATCTATCAATAGATAAACTGTAAACAGCTTTCCTAAGATGAAAATTTAATGCAGCTTAATGTATGATAAGTCAGTGGTGGGTTTTTCATACGTTCTGTGACCCACCTACATATATATATACATATATATATGTGTGTGTGTATAAAATAACAGATTTTTTTTTTTTTTTATAAAATACTTTACTGTACAGTTGTAATAAAAAAATGTAACAATGTATGAGTGACTGTGCTTTGCAGCATGCATACCTCATATCAGAGTATTCTACTACTCATAACCCCACTAATAATATTTAAATACACTGAACAATTTGTTTGTTTTCAGCAAAAATCAAACAAAAAAAACGTGAAAAGTAGTTCAATTTAGCAAGTTAAAGTTGATTAAAATTGATTCTGTGTCTGCTTAACACATTACACTCAGCGGACAGGATGGCGGTAACAAAGCCCGTCAGCACCCATAGGCGAAAACGGTCGATGTGGGGCCTACTCTTATGTCTATGGGTTGCAGCAGTCTAAGCAGGGACTCCCAGATATCCCTCTATCTCCTACAGTTCCTCTGGGGAAAGCTAAAGGTGTTCCATGGTGTTCCAGCAATACTTTTTTTCCTTGTGTCATTTCAATGTATTACACATAACTTAATTTCTGGACATCTATGGTTTGGTTTCTCTGTATGTGTGGTTTGCATGGATTGTTGCCAATATCTTGTTAGAATTTCATGTCAACAGCACCTCTAGAAATATCTTTACTGAGAAAAATTGTGACTTATTTTACCCACTGTATGTTATTTAAAGTGAAGTTCAGATTAAAAATAGTTATTTAAGCCAGCATGTATATTTGTCCCTTTAAGTTCAAATAATATTTTTCTCCTCTGTAGCAGATGAAGAATCTAGACCAAATAAAAGTGGGACCCAGCTTACATATGGGTTTGGTTTGGGCCAGATTATTACTCATTGAAGGCCAACATCTGGTGAAGTTGCGGTAAACATCAGGGTTCCATGTTGGTAATAATGAGTCAACTCTCTCATTCCACAGGGTTTGTCAACCAAATATGCCTGACCCATGTGGGCCAAAGCTAGACAATATTTTCTTTCCTGTACATTTCAGGCTTGCAAGCTGTCTCTTTTTTATATAGCAATGGGCATTATGAGCAAACAAAGCATACGGTGGAAGATTAAACTTATCCTCCTGATACTTCGCCTGGCTTGTTAGACTCTCCAATGATTTCGTACAAAAAAAACAATGTATGTCGCCTTGATGTGCAATCAAGTATGGATCTAGTTATCTTCTAATGTATTAATTTGATCTTTAGCTACTGTTTGCAAGGTGTTAGGCAAATGAGCTTTGCGACTAAATTTTATTATTTTTTTCAAATCTAAGCTTTTTAAATGTCTATGCTGATTGGATTAAGTATTTTAGGTGGTATTTTTAAGTCAAAATGAACTAAAAAGATATTCCAGAATTAAGAAGGGTAAACACACAGCCCTTTTCTAATTGCCAATATATTAGTGAGTGATCAAAAGATATCAACCGTTTTGTTGTAATTGATAATTGGTCAACAGGATCTCAAGGTTTTGAGAATTAAATTTCAATGAAGTTTAAAAAGACTGAAAAAAAAAAACTTTAATACCCTATTTTCCCCCAGTACTGTCAGTTTCAGAGGTACAACCTACCTGGAACTACTCAGACAATGAGAGCGATTGGCAAGGTAAAAATCAGAAGCTGAAACATAAAAACATAGCCTAGAAAAATGTCTGAAGGTTAGTTCAGCAATTCAGATCATCCATTACACTCATTTTTGGGCTCAGCTTGTCATGGTTTTGGTTCTGTTCAAGTTTTATCTCTGACTTTTCATTGGTCTTATTTCCATTTTTGTGTTCTAGTTTTTTTTTTAATTGTATTTGGGTTCTTACATATTTCTTATCTGGCCTCATATGTCAGTCTCCTAGCTCCCGTCTTGTCTCTGTTCACACCTGCTCCCAATCTGCTAATTAGCCTGGTCTTTGTTTTTCTTTCCCATATAATCTCCTCCTGTTCAGTTACTCTTGGCTGGTTTTTTCTTTACCCCCTTGTGAGTATTCCTGGTTTTCAGTATTTTGTATTCGATTGTTATTTGTATTCGATTGTTATAGTTCTTTTTTTTTTCCTCTTTACTGGCCGGGTCTTTTCTTGTGTGGTAAGGTACTCATCAGGGGTCATTGGTGGGATTTGATCCCATAGACTCCCGGGTAAAATGCTTAACAGTCAGCCAAAGGGATATGCCTGTGGCCAAGTAGCTAAAACACATCATTAGTCTGAGGCATAGTTTTTAGGAACCCACAATGTCACCTTTGTCCCCCTAACGTCCTTGTGGAATTTGTGGAAGTGTGGAGCTGCATGGTGGTATCACCTGTTGCTGGGAGCTTTGCACTTGAGGTCTTTCCACATGGAGTTGGCATATTTGCCAATATCTGTAATAACATGTGTACAGTCCTGTGTTTAATTTTGCTAGTCTGTAACCAACTGGTGAGCTGTCTAAGGTCTACCACACCTCTCGTCCAATGACTGGAGACTGACACAAGCCTCTCAATAATGCAACAATAAGTGGATATAGAGAATATACTGTATGTGTTGTCTGAATAGGAGATATTGTAGGTTTAATCACACCAGTAAAACCAGCCAAAATCTTAGGTTTACCTTCAGAGGACATTTGGGGAGAGACACAGGTTATTTTTGTCTTTTATGTGAAACAAATAAGATTTTGTTTAACTGGACTTATTTAAATAATTCTTAATATGACCTCTGGAGTCTCTGCTTCTTTATTAATGTTCATTTGGTTATTGAGTATATTTTAAATAATACCGTACTCGAAAATTTGCAAGAGACACAACTATTAAGTTTTTTTTTGTGGATATCTGTAAGTGTTGTTTGATCAGTATATTTAAATGTGTGAAAACTAACAATTGTGTTTTTATCCACTTTTTAAGGTCCACATTTGTTTGACCGCTTTTTGCTATAATCTTTTGCTGCTGTAACACGACAGTTTCCCCATCGTGGGGAATAAAGAGATACAGGGAATAAAGGGATTTTCAATTCTATTCTATTCCATTCTAACAACTGCATGAAGGTTTTATCAAACAATGCAGTTAAATCTCATTTTTTAAAATATTTTAAGAGAAAGCCAGTTATCAAAGGGAACTGAACGTAACTGAACTGCATGTACTGTAGGAAGGAAGAAAAAAAAAAGCTTCAGCTGAGAGAGTGAGAAAGATCTTCACATAATAAATACCACCCCTACAATGCAGCATGGTGCTGGCATCATTATGCTTTTTTAGTTGATCATTTTTAACATGCTTGCAAGAAAACATAAAAGATCATAAAATTCTAAAATATATTTATATATATTTCTACGGTTTATGTTACAATATGGCTGTAGCATAAAATATAGAAAAGTGAAGCACTGCAGTATGTGGACAATATTTCTTTTTAAAGCGGATCTTAACCCTACCCTTTATTTAAAAATATCTGCACAGGACCATGAGCTGCTGAGGTGAACAGGTTCAACAGGTTAGATTCTCTGTCCTGTCACAACAATCTTGTGTCAAGACTATAACACAACACAAATAAATCCCACCAGCTAATTCAGTGCTCACAGTTTACTTGGCCTACACATATTTGGCCAGTGAGGCGCAAACAAACATTTAAAGGCGAAAATTACATTTTGGCTTAACTCTCTTTGTTTTTCTGAGTTAAACAAACTTTGACTGCTTCCTTTGTTTAGACATGTTATATAAGAGGCAATTAGGTACAGAAAATGAGGGCTTTCATACAGCAATTTGTGTAATTTTTGAGAGTCTACAGATGGCAGTGTAGCCTAGTTAAAAGAGGCAGAAGGAAGTTTCAGTTAATGGCCTCCAGCTGGTCCCACTTTTAAGGATGTCATTTATAGTCAACATGTTTTTAATCAACAAAGCTTTATTTAAGATTAGGTTTAAATGCAAAGAAATGTAAGAAAATAGAAGAGCCATAACCCCTTTCATTATTGTGCTTTATTGAGCTGCATTTGCAAGTATTTGTCTGATTTCTGCTTTCAATGTGAAATTCTAATAAGAATGAATTATTGATAAATTGCATCTACACCTAAAACAGCTTGAATGCAGGAACGTGTGAAGTGATGAGTTTGACTGCTGC